ATTAACTTATTTGCTCTTTTTCTATATTATCATGCAGCAATGAGGAATTGGCTATATAATAATGCAACAATTCGCTATATATAAACTGGTTGTATTGACTGTTTAAACCATATATTGTCAATCTTTCTCATTATTTTCTTATATACGCTGTGCTTTGCGCCACTACTAGGCGCTTCGTCCCCATTGATTTGGGAGGCCTAACATCCGAGTGTACATTTTCAGACAAGGATTTAATCTAAATTATTTATTAAAATCTACCCATAGTTTTTCTGCAGTAGATAATGATTTCGTAGCTTATAATGGTGTATGCAAAGTTGACCCATCGACACTCAGTATAAATCTGATTTTGGAAAGATTGTGGCCCATCACATTCGTGGCTGCATAGTAACTTATAGCTATTTGTCCTGCATAACATGACTTCGAATCTAGTCGTGGATGCTGATGATACCCAGATGAGGACGCAACTTCAATCAAATCTGAATTATGAAGTCTTTTAAGAGTCAAGTCTATATTGAAGTCAATGGAACCTTGAGGCATACGCATTTTATTGTCGGAAATTCACCATTCTGTGCTTTTATCACCTTAAGCGACCTAGAGTAGTTCAAGTTCTTATGAAAGGATGTGTTTATTATTCATTTGCTGGTGTATCCAGATCTCCACGCGCTCGCATTCGTTGAGCAATCCTTTTAGGCTTCAAAAATGATTTATCTGTTAATCAGTTTCGATACAAAGAATAACTATGTTTTGACTGATCTCCTAAGATACCTTTGTTAGAGAGGCTTTCATTTCATGAAGGTGCATGATGAAGAGCTTCGAAGGTAGATCTCACCAGTAGACGACAAGTGAATCGCATTGTAATGCAGGCGTTTAGCTTTAATACGACATTCAGATTGACGCAGTCTACGAGACATCCTCCCTTGTCTTGGGTGAAACCTAAAGAGGATGTCCCGTGGACTGTGTAACCTGAACGTCGTACTAAAGCCAAACGGCTGCATTACAATTGAAATCAGCCGTCGTTTCCTCAATGATATCAACCTTTAAATCCATTTATCATGCACTTTCATATGAAATGAAAGTTTCCCCTAACAATAACTAGTCTGATCTAAATGATAAGTTGTAACTCTGCTAACAAAGGCGCCTCTCACAGACGATGCCGGTGAAACATCCGAGAATGTATAATGCCAACGGTCCGATGCTGGAAATGATAGCGAATACTATTGCAGAGGATACAGGACTAGATACGTTCCACGAGTTCTGTTGCCCTAATCAAGTTGCGAAAACGGAATCAAACCAACACGATAATCAATTTCGTTCAGTCATATGATGTCTCCTCGTGATGATAACTCACCAGCAAAGACCCTTCATCTGAGCATCAAATCCTATCATTAGACTGTTGTAATTACGAGATAGCAATCGGCCTATCTAACCATTTCATCTTAAGTCTCAAATGTCTAATACTAACCCATGGATTATTGTATATCCTATGTTCTGCTCCAATTTTGCATTTTTTTGATTATAACGCCTGGTTACTTATATAGTCCACAATATTTATACAACTAGTTATATCTGTTCCTTTTATCATTTATTATTTTTTTCTAAATAGCCGGCTTTCTTTCACTTCACTTATGTGGCATGGCATATAATCCGCTGGCAGATCGATGGAGCTGGTGTGACACCCTGGCCATTAACTACGCCCTCCACGCCGTCAAAATAAAGGAGTCAACTTGATCGAGACATTACTTCGTTAACTTTCGCCTTAAACTTTAAATTAAAAAGCTTTAAATCTATATATTGAATTCTTCTCTAGAGGCTAAGAATAATTTCAGCCTGGGACTTTTTGGTATGTGAAAATAGCCCTGTTTGGCGTTTCTTTATAAATAAAAATAAGCTATCTGGAAGTTGGGTTAGCAGGCAGGCACTACCACGGACTGAGGAAAGCTCTTACACGTTTCGTCTGGCATGCTACTATTATTGTAGAAATTTAGCTCACATGAGCGAATCCTCTTTTTGTACTGATGAATTATCTCATGGTTTGAATCTATTTTAATCGAAGGTATGAAGACCAAAATGGTGTGGCCTTTTGTATGGTCGCTGTCTCCTTTCGTTTTGTAGAAGTTGTTTGACCTTGTTTTCACAATTTGGTCATATTGGCAGGAGGATCTTGATGAACGCACCTTGTCCGGAGTCCATAGCATTCATGATAATTTCCAGTCGGACCTTGGACATGGTACATTCCCAGACTTTTCGCTGGCATCATCAATGGGCATTACCCGTCTTAGTATCACACTACAACTCGTCAGAGACAAGCGAAGCCAATATTTTAACTAATTGTCTGCTAAACAATCGTGATATCTCTCCTTCCGCCCTGGGCTAATCACCAATCCTATATCCTTTTATTATCACAATTTTTACTTGGTTATTTAAATGTGGCATGGTGTTCCCTTTTAAGAGGATTTTATGAGAACTCTCCACACCTCATGTTGGCTTTCTTACCCCTTTTCACCCTTGTGCTAGGAATATTGATCAGACTCTCTCATATTTGTAAGCAGTCCTCCTTACATAGATCTTATCAGTCTCCCTCTTGACCGTATGATCCGTCTCCTATCTCTCTTGTTCAAGTATTCCACTCCATCACTCCCACACTATTTGTGCTACTCGAGGCGTTATTTCCTACACTCTGCGTCCTGGATACTAAATTGAGGCTAAGGAACCCGAATAATTTTCATGATCAGGCCTTTGCTTCATGGACCACGTCTCTGATCAAATGCGTCTATTGTTGTCCAACTAACTCTAGTCTCCGCTACATTTATCGTGCTTTTATCTATAGTACCAAGTCTATGACTTTCTATGCCTTAGTTTCTTGTGTGCCAACCCACAAATGTTATGATTCTACTTGTTTTAATTAGGTTCAATGCATAACTCCGAAACTATTGGTTAGATATATAGATCACAACTTTACATTCCGGCAGAATTGCAAGGAGTCAAGAAAATTTCCCTATGTTAGAGATACGAAGACACACTAGTCATTAATAATGGAACTAAATTATCCTTTTTAGAAGTTGTTTGACCTTTTTTCGCACCTTTGGTGTTTTCTTAGGAATACTTTGTCCAGATCCCATATTATGCATGTAAATTACCAGAATTGGGCCATGGACTTGTTATATTCTCAGACTTTAATCTGGTATTGTCTGTGAGCCTTACCAATCTCAGCGCCACACAACTCGTCAGAGACAAATGAGGTCGATCTCTTGCCAAATGCCTATCAAACAGCTATGTTAGCTCTTCCTTTGTCCTGCTACATTCACTTGTCCTCTATCTTCGATTCGCCTCTTCATTATCACAATTTCTTACTTATTTAAACCTAGTTTAAGTGGGCTTGTTTGAGAGGATTTAGTAAGCCCTATTCACACTCCCCGCTGGCTACCTCATCCCCCAACTGAGCTTGGAGTGTTGATCCTAGTCTGCACTTTTATCCTCGAAATCCTTTCAGTCTTCCTCCTGCCCCTGGCCTCATGGTAAGGAAAGTTCAGATAGTTTCTTACTTTCGCTTAACCAGCGTGAAAGGAAGATTAGGTTCACAAAGAAAATGGAAGTCCTTCTCTTTTCTGAATGTCCTCATCAGTAGAAAAGAGGGTAGGTTAGGAAGAGATGTTTATAAGAAGCTAGCATATGTTGACTCTGCTTAATTTTCTTTCCAACCATAATTACAAAGCTAAAGTTAGAATTTTGAAGTAAATGATTATTAGAAGTATGAGGCTAGCGGATATGAATCATTTAATTAAGGAGTTGGGACGACTGACAAATTTTCTCCTGGAAATTAATCATACTTTGGGCCTTATTGAGAATAATATCTCTTTACTGAAGAATAGATTTTCAGACGGTGACTATTAAATCAAATATAGACAAGCTGATACCTTTTCTCAAGGCCTAATTTTGCAATCAGGCCTTCATTAAAAAAGGAAAGGCGAATTAGTAAATAAGTGGAAGATAAAACAGTCTTAAAAGAAACCTTCACTAATTACTATATTTCAATAAAATTACTAAATTATTCTTAGATACTCTGATCCTCACGGTGGGTTGAACATTTAAAGAAATTTAATGTCTAGCTTTTTTATAGAAAGGCATGCAGACAGAAAACCGTTAATAATTGAGTAGTTAATAAACCGATAAGATTGCACGAAGTCCCTGATCGTGATAGCGGTGAATTTTATAATTGAGTGAATTCTGCCAAGAGCGAATAGAAGCAAATAAAAATCGGAGGTAGTCTATGGAAGGAAGTCTGATTAAAACGAGAGTATTAAAAATCGATATTGGTAAGATACTTTGTGCCGAACGTTTTGAGGTGTTTATGCAGATGAGACAATCGTGTCTGAAATTCACTGTCAAATTTTGGAACGTTTGAAGGAAATCTTTAATAAAACACATTTGGCCTTGTTTGGAAATTTAATTGCAGAAAAATATATAGCTTTTCCGAAAACCCAGGGTGAAAAGATTTAATAATAGAAGAATGCGATGCCAGCAAAGTAATTTTTGATCATAACATAACCCCCAAAAAGAAGCTGAAGAAGATCGTTAGTGGAAATTGTTGTAATTCAGATGTAAACAACACGCTGTGACCAGGTAGTTAGAGGAATGCTGCATCATCGTATTTCGAGAATGAATTTGTCAGTTAACTTAGTATACAAGCATTTAGATTCTAGGAATTTCCTTGACACTTCAGTAACACGTTATCAATAGCGACATCCATTTCAGCCGTTCACAATCTGAAATGAACAGAGGCTGAAGAAATTTTTAAAAATTCTGAAAAGATATATGGATTATGGAAGCTAGCTTAGCGCATCACATTTATAGGATTATGAAATATAATGAGAGAGCATAAGCATGAAGAGATGAATAAATACACATTAGAAGTTCAGAAGATAAAAAGAAAGAAAACCCTTGCTAAGATCTTAACTTAAATATAACAGATATTTTGAATTGCAATCAGATTTAAATGTACAAAAATGCTAAGACAGCAGATTTTACCGTTTGCCAGATGAATAAAAATGAAAATAGGCATGGTGAATGCGCATATAATGTTCCCCAAGATTCATGTATGTGTGTCCGAATCCTGAGTAGTGTAGCCCCTAGGCAGCCCATGTTTGCCTACTTCGATAATGGATGATCCCGAAGGGGGGATTGCTGTCACATCAATGTTTTTAATAGTAGAGGCCTCATCAGCAAGTCCGATTCGAGGGTCCAGACCAAACCAGGTACGGTTCGAAACCTGAGATTGACAAGCTTCAATCAGTCGCCAATCAGCTGGATTTCTAGGTACTAAGTCTCCACAGCCAGCTTCCTGGTTCATTGAAGGTTGATGCAGCAAATCACGAATACGGCCTGTGACCAGGGACATTTCTGCTTCTACCAAAGCTGACTGAGAATTAGGTTTTGTCCACAAATCCAGAATCTTCTCCAGAGGGATATGCAACTCACCACCTATGCGTGGATTTATTTAAAGATTGTAAATAATCGACGTGTAAATTTGATATATAATAATTTGATCGATTGAGCTGTACAACATATAACTAAAATATTTGTTGTTTGATCTATTATGATGGCAATTTTGTACAAAAATGATGGCTAGAGTATCGTTAATAGAGCAAGTGAAGTAAATTTTAGAAGGAATTCCCTGAAGTGACCATTGCAGAGAAATTAACCGATTAATGTGAATGAAAAATCTTGGTGCGGTACAGAAACGGTCTGGCTGTTTGTTTAATTTATTTATGCCGGCATGTCTTTCATTTCGTTTGCAAAAGCGGATGGAAAGGATTCGTAGAATAGCCGCACCGGATACCGAAAGAGGGCTTTCCTATGACTTATTTTTCGTATTTAAGTAGAGTTTCGAGACTAACAGTAAACTCTCATATTCCTTGGACTTGTTGGATTGTGCAAAAAGGCTTTCGCGGTAATATGGCGTAGTAGTCAACGTGTCGAGATTACACGCTACACTGTCATGGATCTACTCCCACCGGGGGTGCTGATAGGACCTAGGCGAGGTCGAAACTGCCGTTCACTCTGGATGGGAACACCTTTTGAGAAAGCAAGATCACGTGAAATTCAGTGGAAAAGTCAGCTCTATTTATAACAATTTGGGAAAATTCAACTACTATTCCTTCTTCATCTAAAACCAACTAAGGGTAAATACATCTCATATAGTTGATTTATTGGTAGTCTTGTAGGCCTACTTATGAACGAAAAAAACAAACAATAAACCAAGAAAGGAGGCCGGCTAGAATTCACCTTAGCTCTTATACCTCACTTTGCGATTGCATTATTTGGTTGGCTACTTTGTGCTTGTACTACATGCATGTAGACGAGTGAAGTTGATGCAGGAAAGGCGATATGATGTAGTCGGGAGATTTCTTTATGTAAATAAGCCACTGTACGATCCTATAATCGAGACTTGTTTGGCTCCGTGGATGCGTGTGCGTTGTGTAATACTGAAGAGCTAGCTAGCAATTTTGAGTTACAAATCAGACCCCAGTTTAATCAAGTCTTCACGTACTCAGAGGCTCTTTATGTTCCCTCTCTTTCTCTAATTCTATCCAGTAGTCAGAGGTAGTTCTTGCTCATTTTCATATATTCGTTCTTCTCATTCATAATATTTCTTGTTTTCTTAATTTTAATTGACTCCCTGATATTTTGCTTAGCTGTGAAACCCTAATAACCGGTAAAACTTTATGTTTCAGACTATTTTATCCTGTGCTATACAAAGATCAATAGTTCAGCCACCTCCGATCTTTGAAACCGTAAAGCTTTGCAGGTGGTTTTGTGTTTTGATAACCTCCTTTTTATGGGCCGACTAACCCCCCCCCCCAACGTAGACACTACGTGAGCACGAATAGCTTTATCTG